TTTATGTGGTGGCAAATTATAGACAAAATGACAGACCCACCAAATCTCAGGGAGGTTTTCCGAGATTTTTTTTTTTTTTTTTTTGTAAAACCATCTATACACTTTGACGAGTGTTGGGCACATGGTGTCACTGTTGAACAGTAAAGTAAAGGGGGGATGTTTGGGGGTGCTTTCTGAAATCACGACACACCTTTTTCACAGGGTGTTAAGACTACGCAGTTTTGTGGATGCTTTTATGATTTAAGAACATCTCCAAACCCTCGTGGTTATGGACAGGTTTCTATACCAGGGTTTGAAAATACGCAAATAAACAACACAATTTTTTTTTTCCTCTCCCAAGAAGAATGAGATTTTGGGCCTCTGTCTTTGTCTTGGCCGCTCTGTGGCCTGGCGCTTTGTCTGTGACTCGGTACTCCATAGCCGAGGAGATGGAGAGAGGCTCTGTTGTGGCGAATCTAGCTGCGGATTTGGGACTTGATCTCGGAAGTTTGGCACAACGAGAGGTAAAACTGGATATCTTTACAACCAAAAAATATCTAGACTTTAACAAAAAGAGTGGTGAGCTTTACATCGTGGAGAAAATAGACAGGGAGGATCTTTGTCCGGCGAAGCCATCATCTTGTTTTTTAAAGCTCGATTTCATTATAGAGAGCCCTTTACGCATCTTCAATATTGAGCTCGGAATAACAGATATAAATGATAACGCTCCACATTTTCGAAGAGACAGAGTAGAGCTAGACGTTTCAGAATCCGCCACGCCGGGGGAGAGATTCTCATTGCCCAATGCGGTAGACCCAGACGTCGGAATAAATACGATTAAAACATACAGACTTAGTACGAGTGAACATTTTACTATAGAAATTCAGACAGGCACTGACGGAACTCAGTATGTGGATTTGGTATTAACAAAATCTTTAGACAGAGAGGAGAAGGCCGTGCATAAATTAATCCTGACAGCTGTTGATGGAGGTGTCCCTGTGCGCTCTGGCACCGCCAACATCATAGTAAGAGTACAAGACACAAACGATAACCCTCCTCGATTTGACAAACAGATTTATACAATAAATATGACAGAAAATACCCCGACAGGAACCCGGGTGGTTAATCTCAACGCTACTGATCTTGATGAGGGGCCTAATTCAGAAATTGTGTACGCATTCACTCTTTACACGTCGGAAAAAACGCAAGACGTCTTCGCGCTGAATCCTAACACAGGAGAGATAACTGTTAAAGGCACTATAGATTATGAAGATATGAAATTCTATGAGATGCATATTGAAGCAAGGGATAAAGGGACACCCCAGCTGCTGGGGAAGTGTAAAATAGTAGTGCATGTGACAGATATGAATGATAATTATCCAGAAATTACTGTTCAGTCTGTTAAAAACACAGTGCCTGAAAATATACCTGTAGGGACAGTTATTGCGTTGGTAAGTGTGAGCGACCGAGATACAGGAGATAACGGAAAAATAAACTTATCCATATTTGAAGCAATGCCGTTTTTTCTTAACAAATCAACAGACAGACCAACACATTATAATCTCATTGTGTCTGAGCCATTAGATCGCGAAAAGGTACCTGAATATGATATTAAACTGATTGCAAAGGATGCAGGGAGACCTCCTTTATATGACAATGAAACAATAACGGTTCACCTGCTGGATGTTAATGATAATGCGCCGAGGTTTCCCAGGTCATTTTTTACTATACGTGTCATGGAGAATAATGCACCTGGGGCCTTGCTCAGCTC